GGAGCTAAGAGGGTGAGAGAAAACGTTGATTTAAGTCCGGCAAAACTGTAAGCAAAAATAAAAGGTCTGTCCAAAAGAAAAGGAGATAATGTCTTGTGAATACAAGTGAAGGAAAACACACCTCAGTGAGTCACTACTTGACGTATCATCTAGAAATAATAAGGAAAAAGACGTGAGAATGTTATAAATTATTATTATTACATCAGCCCATACTCACATAAGCAAACGAGGTAGTGAAATAATCAAAACTAAAAATTAAACAGTCTGCGATGAACTAGTAAACCATCAGGGTAGAGTAGCATAACGACATGCATAAGCATTGAGCTCTATACAACATACACAGGAAGCAAACACGCAAAGCTTGTTATAATTAAGCCCAACTGGCTCATAGCCCTTGAGTGGTTTCTGCAGCATAAAGCAGCTAGGAGTATTGCTACTACCCCTGGATAAGATGCGAATGTCCTTCACAGGTTACGTTCCAACATGCTGTCAGGTTGCACCCTCCTACACCCAGGAATAAAAACGGTACCCATTGATATGCCAGGTGGACAGAGGAAATGTGGGGGTAAAGTGTCTTGCCCAAGAACACAACACAAACTTCCCGACCAGGGCTCGAACCCAGACCGCTCCGAAGTCCAGCGCACTAACCATGAGGCCACCGCACCTCTCACATGATATAAATGTGATTTAAAACTTTTTTACCTGAGGCTTTCAAAAAGGACACATCGATCCCTTCGTCCGCAAGAGACAACAGCGACTGGAAATCAATTTTTGTCGCATCTCCTGTGAAGACAGACAACCAAGAAAATATTTGATAACGACCGAGAAACATTGTTACAAAACAAGAAGTCAGAAACAATTCCAAAGACCAACAGTTACCAGTGGACGACGGACTTGGAGTGGTGGAAGCCGTCAATGAAACCTGTCAATGGAAAAAATAACACAACTCAGGAAAAAGTTATTGCTTCATCAATAACTCATAAGACGAAAAACAACAGTAATAACCACAATTACTGTGCATAAACCATGGAAAAAGAATCTCATACCTTGGAATTTTCGCCTGCTCCAGATGCAGAGGCTGCCTTGCTCCCCTCTTGGCTTGACTGGAAAAGAAAAAGCAAAAAACTTATTCAAACGATCAGGTTGAAAGGTGAACAAAGAACAAAGAGCCTAGATGAGAAAGTCAGAGAGGTTCCCTGGACGAATTAAAATCTTATGCTTTGGCAACGAATTGGTGGATTGCAATCATTTTACAGGAGACTCAAATGATGGCGGCCGTCTTAGATCTACCAAATCTTTAAGTAGTTCTTTAGTTGAATATTCCCGTTACATACAAAGGACGAATACATGATAGTTAAGTTCGAACCACTAAGTTTGGATGTTAAATCAGAGGACTTAGGGCCCCTTTCTGGAAGGTCTGGTAACTCTACGGACCAAAAGCCAGATTTTAAGATCTAAACTTAAGGAATAGTAGTGTGGATTTAAGCTGAAAAACCAGTCCATTCTGTTTCGTTTCCCGACATTTTTATTGTTTGAATTTCAAAACTATTAATATGCCGAGGCAAACACAGCAAACAAAAATCAGCTTTTGGGGACCTGTAACTACCGGGGCTTTCTAGAATGGGGTCCCTGGTGACATAAGAAATTTACTCAGGACAAAGATGGTCTATTTTACCTCACTCTCCGAAGAAACTGTAACTTCCTTTTTTTGTTCGATATTTTCATTTTCTTTCGCTTGCTTTTCTTCCTCGATTTTCTCAATCTGGGTGATAACAAACAAAGGCGTTAGCCTACAAAGGAACTGCTGGGCTGCATCGGTGGGCTGAGTGGTAAGATACAAATAAATTCAAAGGTAGTTTGTTTATAAAACAAATGAACAAAAACGACAAGTGGTCGCCTGATTGTCTAGAGTCCAGTGCACTGCGCAACACACAAAACAACACGTCCATAGCCACAAATTACAGACTGGCTTGCTGGCTATAGATCGTGACATACCACTCCGATCGCGTTTGTGGAAAAAACACTTATCTCGTGATTTTTAGCCTTTTTAGGAGTTAAAGTGTTAAGAAAAGTGCTTGTGTAAAGGTATATTGGCTCAGTTCAGATAATCAGACGTCTAGATAGCCAAAGTAAGTTCCAGATGTTTGCACTATTTTCCGGCCGCCATGTTGGTGTAGCACAGAGCTCCACCAACATGGCGGCTCCATACTGGACTCTGTAAGTTTGCGCAAAACATTTCGACGAATATCTGAAGTTTGGGCAAACGCAGAGACCCAAAATTTGGAGAAATGTCTTCTCTACCTGTCTCCTATAATATTAAAATTTCTTGACTTTATCCGCTGAATAGTTTTCGATTTATCTTTGCGTTGTGTGACAGTGAAAACCATCTATTAAGGGAGCTCAGTCACGGTATTTTGAGTTATTTTTCCACGAACAAAATTACCTTTAAACTGAAGGAAACCTGAAAATAATAGTTCACAAAGACAGAAAAGCCCCAAAGAGATAATAATAAACCATAAATGAACAAGGATGGTTAAGGATGGAGAAGATTGACACAGATTACGAACGACGAACTTGAAAACTCTAGGCTAAACTTTTCAAGATGCGCAAACCGTGACGTAGCACCTTTTACATGTCCCTTCAATCTTACCTCAGCCATTTGTTTAAGATATTTAGAATGTGCTCCTTCAGTCAGGACGTCCAGCAGTCTATCCACTGCTTCATGTGAAAACGACGAAGCGTCCTTAACAAAGGCCTGGAGACTGGGTTGAAAAAAAGAAAAAAAAAAAGGAAAATTGATACCGCTGGAAATGCGCGGAAGCTAGGTGAAGTATACTTAACCCACAAGAACATAGCAGTTTTAAGTAAAATGTCAAGAAGTAAAGCAATTGCCAAAGTTGAAGTGTCTTTGCTTTCGACTTTCATTTAGGGAGCCACAAATCTCTGCCGTGTCTCGCCCTCAGGCCAAATTGGACTAACATTTCAAACAATTAAATTATAGAGCAGTTTTCAATTGAGAGTTGTAAAACCAAAACCAAAGTAATCACTCCAGCCAATCACAAAGGAAGCAGAAAATCCCGTGAACCAATTAAAACTCAAATTACATGTAGGTGACGTAAAGCGCGGGAAGACGTGTGCCGACGAGTTACGATTGGTTTTGGTTTTACTTCTGATTGGATGAAAAGGTGGCGTGAGTGTTTTAGGCCAATCTTGTAGCGTAGTGATGCAAAACCAATTACCTTCGAAACTCAAATGAAACCTGCTCTATGTAGGCTTTGCAGATCCTAGTATAAAGGAACAGTTCATTATGTTTTTGGCAAACCTGATCTTGATGTAATTTTAAATCTAGCGACAATCATCCTAAACAACACCAGACGCCAGCGCGAGGCGAGCGGAAGTCTTTCGCATCACAGTTATTTTATGGACTAACCTTTTGGCATAGTGTATTCCAGTATCATCACCATAAGTGCTGTACAACAAGTCTGACTGTTCTTTTGTTATAGTTGCTCTAGACGAGTCGTAGGTAGGAGCGAACGAGCCATACGGTCCGTACATTAAATATGACACTGAAATACATATAAAGTTACGACCGTTATAAAAGCACGCAGTAAAACAGGCAAAATAAGCAAAATAATTAGACCTGGATATTGGGGTATACCAACAAAGCAATCGTCTGATGCGAAGAAAGCTACGATCAACCATGGGAAAAAATGTTGGAACCATCTTCATCTCTCACTTATTCTCCAGTCATGCACGTTTTGTAATTTCTGTGATTTATTCACTTGTACTNTCGCTGTCAAACTCATTATAAGTAAGACTGCATCAGACTCCAATGACGGGTGCTCATGGCGTGAGCAAAGTTAAATTCGCTTCGCCAAATAAAACATTTGATTCATGCTTTTAGCTGTGCATTGTCAGATCTGTGCTCTAGAAACGCCGGTGTGTCACAGGTAACTAACCTTTGTCTTTGGGCGACTGGAAAAACTTAATTTTTTCTCACGTAAGCTTAATTGCTGGGCACCCAGGATTTCAAAGTTATGAACCTTTGGGCTCCTCGTAATTTTTCTTCGACTACAAAGTTTGAACGACAATCAAGAAGCTACAGTTGCTCCCGTTTGCGAGCACCTCATAGTGTTCTCAGCAAACGTTCTGTATACATCATACATAGCTCGATGATGCACGCTAGAACATGATTCAGTTGTTAACTATATGACATCAGATCATTACCACAAAGGCCTTACAAGGAAACTCGCAACTTTGTCTAACTTGAAGAGAACGATCAACTAACAGATCTTGTCTAGATGTAATACCAAATTCTCGAAACTAACATGAAAATAAATTCATGCCAATCAGTAGAGAGGACAATTTAGAACGGTAGCTGGAGGTTTCATACCCAAGCAAGTTCGCACCCAAATCGACTCAACTAGCAATCAAGTGCTTAAAATTTACGGGTAATCTTTCGTTTACCCAGCAAAATAGGCAACATTTTGGTCATATTGAAACAAATTCATATAAAACATGTTTATTTCCCATTCTTTAATCCACTGAAGGTGAAGGCGAATTTGAAATAGAAAGTCCATAATGGGCTAAGGGGTGCGAACTCGATTAGGTGCGAAACAGGTAGCATTCCTTAGAACTCTGTCTTTGTACCTGGTGTTGCCTTGTTCCGTTTGTCTTCTTTAAACCCAGCCGTGGTGTGTGAACCGGTAACTACTTTACCTACAGCTGCTCCAAGATTAACATGACGGTACTCTGGGGCTGAAAGAGTAACGGGCAAAAGTAACTTAACAAGAACTGTCATGCAGTCTCTCCAACAAACTATTGCGTGATCTGGGCATGGTGTATAGGAAATAAATAATAGACGTGAACCAGCAAGAAAGAAACAACACACATGTTTCGCTCAATTATTCACGCTTTGGTTGGTCGAGAAGAATATAAAACTGTAACACAAATGCAAAGAGCTCACATGGTAAGACGGTCACATTCATGGACAGCCAGCCAACAAGCCAGCCAACCAGCCTGACCGACAACCAGCCAGCCAGCCAGCCAGCCAGCCAGCCAGCCAGCCAGCCAGCCAGACGGACACACAGACAGACAGACAGACAGACAGTTTCATGACATATCAGTTTTGAATGAGTGGTGTCTGTTATTACCTTCAGAGTCCACTGGGTTTACTACAGCTAAAGTCGTAGTTCCATCTTTATCTCGCCGTAGAAAACCGATCTATACGAGAAAAAAAAGTGCATACAAACTAAAAAAAGAAACAGAACAACAACAACAACAGCAGGAAGTGACAGCAAGAAGTGATTTCATATGTCATAAATGTTGTTACACACGCAACAAGTTGGAAATATTGTGGTCTGCAAGATGAATTAATGAAATTATGCTATTTTCCCCGATGTAAAAGAACGTCCAATTCCATGGGCTGACTGAGCTGTGGTTTACCCTTGACAAAGTTCCTAAGGAACATGACTTCAAGCAGAGGTTGAAGTTTTATGACTACTTGTGAATCTTTGCACTCTATTTTTGTTTCCATTATTTATTTCGTCTTTTCTTTGAAGGTTGGTTGTAAACTGTCCCACACTGCTTACCTTACTGTTGGGATGCTTTGCTTCCAGCTCAGCTGCCATTCTCCTTGATGCTTCCTGAACTTGCGCAAGAATCTTTCGACTAGCAGAGGTGTGCTTTGATTCACTCCTAGTTCAAACATATGTTAAAGACACTGTATTGGTTGTGGAAGCTTAAGCAGGCAACTTGCTTGTGGGATACCTACACAATGCTGCGGTTACAATGGTCCGGAATATTTTGTTCAGTTGAACACTGCACAAGCAATATGCAACGTTTTGAAAGTTTGTGGCATTGCCAGCACGATCAAAACTGCATGTTGGGCAGCTTTGAGCTAGCAAACCAGGTTTTAAAAAAAAACCACCACAACAACAACAACCAAAAAAGATGATAATAAGTGGACGATTCAACTTTTCTGTCACAAAGTAGTATGTACCACAAGTGCGATTTTCACAGTACACTATTCACTTCGTTTTCCGAATTAACTTGATCTAACGCCCTGCTAACAAAAAGGATTCTCCTTCTGGTGAGTTTTTTTTTGTCACATTCCCATGTTCATGTAGAAATAATTTATACAGTATACAAAATAAACTTTTCATCCCTTAAAAGGTTACCTCTCCATTAACGTTCAAATTACCAAGAGTAAAATAATTGCTATTCTTCCTAGTAGACTGCAACACCCACAATTTTTTCCCACTTTCAGAGTAACGTCTTCGATGCTGCCAGTTTCTTTCAAATCCAATCAATTTGTTTCAATTGTACTACATGACTGCTTTCAGCTGAAACAAGCTCAAGGCATCAAAAATTTGTGGGTGTCCCGGTCTACTGGCAACAACAACAACAACTGTTACAATAATTTAGAAGAATGATGGCCACTCTCACCCTTAATTTGAATGTTTGCATTGAAAACAATGTAATATGGGTAAACCAATTGAAGACAAAAAAAGCCTTGTTTACCTTGGTTTCATCCTCTTTGTCGACTGTGGAACATGATTTTCCTCGATGTCTACCGTGTCAACATCAATTGGTTCATCTGAACCACGCCCCTCAGATTCGTTTCCTTCATATTCCGGTATGGGAAATCCAATACTTCGGTACATATTGCGGATTTTCTCCTGGGAAATTTAAGGACAATGTTATGACCAGAAATGACAACCTGGTTCCCAGGGTCTCTCATCTTACCGCCCCTCTCTTCGCTCACTCCAGGGGGCGGTAAGATGAGAGACCCTGGGAACGAGGTTGCAGAAATGAGATGTTTGAAATACTCAAAACTTAAGAGGCCACAGGAACACAGGATTTTTTGTCAATAAAGTGATTGTAGGAGAGTGGGTTTGACCTCATCAAAGAGCACAATCTATTTTCGGGTGTTACAGTGTACATGGTGTTGTTCTCTTAAATGGAGAGCATTTCTTTGAAGACTGCAAACTAAGGTTGTTGTCCTTCAAGTATGTTGCTAACCTATGAAAGTTTCAGACCACATATAGACATAATTGTCACAACACATCCATAGATGAGTGGTACCTATGAACCAGTAGTACACATAATGACTCAGAAAGTTTGTTTACTTGTACTTACAGGAGACAGAAGTTTGGATCCTGTTTGGATGAGCTTCTTGGCTGCTTTGTAGTAAATTGTCTCAGGTGCATTATACACCATAGCATTGTTGCACATCAGGTAGAAGTCATCCTACAAAGACATCACAACATTGTAAAATGCAGCCCAGTGCGTGGAACATTTTTGGCAAGTACATGTAATGCACCCCTCCTCCTCACACCCTTGACATCAAGGGCTCATCAAGCATACCAAGCCCTAATGAGTGTTACAGGTTACACAGCCCTCAATTACAGCCTTTATCCAGGATGAAAATACATGACTGTTGGTATGTCTTGTAGTTTATACATGTGGCTTTAAAATGTAATACATTGTCAAACACGCAAATGTACAACAAACAAATAACAGCACCTCTACCTTACCCTAAACTGCTCTAAAGAATAATAGTCATTGGAGTCAATCTTGTATTTGATGGAGCTGAAGTCCATTGGGTGTGTGATGATGTTGGAGTATCCTGGGGCTATGGTATCATTTACAGGATATGCAAAGAATCCCTGAGTGTCCTTCCTGTGGAGAAAAAAATCATCATCAGTTTACAGAACTTAATCAGTGAGAAATAACTTACAACATCTGAACTTGGTGTTGGTCTAAAAAGACGTGATGTCTGGTCTTAAAGACACAAATCAGGTAGAATAGAGAGGTACTGTACTATGAAAAAGGATTGATCAATGCTATGACGGTAGTCACCAGAAAGTGATGGCTGGATTCAAAATCCAAGACACTGATCACAAAGGCTAAAGCACAGACTGTGTAGTTGATATTTACTGACCTCTGGAGGGTACGATGCACATTTTCCAGACACAGCCGGAGAGGTGAGATCTCTGGTTCTTTCAAATAACCTTTAAAAGATGAAACAGTATTGCTATTATTCAGATACATGACTTTGTCCAGTAAAGTTCACTTAATGTTTAAACAAAATGTAATTTAAGTACCATTTCACTTGAACTGATCTTTCGGAGCAATCAACAAATTTTTGATCCCTTCAATCTACCATACTTACCACCAACTTTTCTAGCTTCTGGGCTGTTTCTGAAAAAAAAAAAAATTAACACCAGTAAATAAGTTCTTAGTCATACATGTACTCCACAGTAACAAATTACAGCGCAGTTCCGGTGGCCTGAAGGGCCGCCAAGTGGAGCCCGATACTCATACAGGAAAGAAAAGGAAACCCATGAGTTGATTTTCTCATGGTTATCATGGCTGGCGGTATTGCTCATGGGCGCATACACACGACAACGATGGAGTTGCCCAACATGGCAGCCACATTCCAAATAATAGGTTCACAGAGACATGCAGTCGGGGTTTATTGAGTACTTCCTTGATATTGGACATCCATGTTATGATCAATTGATACCTGTCAAAACAAGGTATCAGCTGACCAGTATCACGTGACCATATCGTGGGGTCAAGTTTACAGCTCCTTGAGGTCACGTGTTTTTTTTTTAAGTTGACCACTGACCAAGTGCTGGTTATCGATTAGATTGCGGGCTCATATCAGGTTAACTTGTTGGAAACAGGGCAGGATTGTTCGGAGGCCGGTTAACGCTAACCCAGGATTAATAGTTAACTGAATTATAACTTTTTCTTCTATACAAATGTGTTTTGCTCTTTTGTTTTGGGTATATGGTGATTATTAAAACTCAAAACAGAAGGCCAAACAATACACAGAAAATCTAACCACAAAGTTATAAAACTCAAATCAAAATTCTACCTTTTTCTGGATTAGCTTAATCAGGCTTTGAACAACCCAGCCCAGGAGCTAAGCTTTTAGGCTGGCCTAAATCTATATATTACATTAACAGAAATTCAGAAAGGCTGGAAAAAAAAAGTAGAGCTGAGAAAAACCTTTCTAAGCAAAGAGCCATTCAAATGCCATGGACCGTGTCTTAAGAGTGATTTTCTGAGAGTGTCGTGAATCGGAAGACAGTCACGTAAAATTGAATTTTCTTTTATTTCGCCAAAACATACCTTTGGGTTAACTTATTCAAGGAAAAATGGTTCAAAGTTCCAACGATTTATTTTACGGCCAAAATTCAAGAAAGTTCGAAATTTGCATATAATGGCGGTTTTCGTGGCTTAAAATGTTCAGAATTTCATGCTTCTTTACGAAAACAGCAGGTGCGTAAAAACAATCCTATGACAACAAAACTTGGCACAAATATTATTTCATTCTTATACTTTAAAATCGTGTAATAAGTTTCTTGAAGTTTTGTTTGTAGCTTTGTAATGAAGGGTATTTTGTACAGCCGCCATTTGTGTCTCTTGGCGAGGAACAAATAAAGGCCAACTTTGACTAGTATAAATGGCCCCTAGTATATATCATTTGGTCAAAATATCTACATTTTAGGAAACCTTGGTTCTTGTTTTTTTCACCCGAAAAGTTATAGTTCTGGGAGTTAAAATGTTCTCTGTCAGCAAAATAAAATGTTACAGCATGTAAGCGAGTTCAATTTTATGCAAATCACAAGGTTATTCTTTGGAAGTCAACAGTTTAAAACAGGAAACAACGACTCACTGTTACTTATATGTTCCTTCTGCTGCTATAGAAAATATTTTAACTTCCCAGTGTCCTTGTGAGCTGTTCTGTAAAATATTTCCAGTAAAACAGCCGACATAAACGGCCATAAAATTTGACAAGGTCGACAATGTTTATATTTGAGATGAGACACTGAGTGGCACACACAGTCCTGGCTGTTTTCATCGTCTTGCTCAGTCGAGACTCCTTTAAAAATATGACAGAATATTCGCTTGAAACCGTAGCAAATAAGTTTCTCAAATCCATATTCCTCGTGTTGACTCATGAGTAAATAAATCAGTCCCCGTACACTGAGTAAACAACTTGACTGACCTCTGAGGTCAGGAGGTTACCTGATATGTCATTATGTTACTTTTCCCCGGTTTCACATTACACACGTAACGCCGTATTGAACATCACGGTATTTAGTTGAATTACGGTATTCAAAATCTCTTTAAAGACATTTCGATTTAAAAAGAAAATTGAAAAAGCAGCATTTTGACATTTCTAATTTCAACACTGCATTAATCTCTTTGATGTCGATGTGATTCATAGTTTTGCACTTAGTGACATTTGGCACACATCTAAAAGTGTGCAAAGATAAATACTCAAAAATAAGAAACCGTTTATCTGCAGGAAAAGTTGGACTGCCGAAGATAATAATGTTTTAAATTCTGCATATTGTTTATTCGAGCCCCAAGCTACCTGCTTTCAGTAATGCTTTGTGTCGCTTAGCAAAAGTGACAAACTTACTCTATGAAAATAAAGGCTTAGTTACACTTGATTCATTCTTTTATTTTTCTCATCTGAAATTTCTATTATATAGGCTTACGATTTTCTTTCCAAATTTACCATTCAATTTCCTATCCCGGCCATATTTGAAGACATTCCTTCTCATTTGATTACTGTAAAACTTTACAATCACATATCTTGAGGAGGTTCAATATTTGCCTGTGTCATTGGAGGCGTCAAAGAAGTGTCAGACATTTATTATTTACTTGTTGAAGTTGTACTCTTAATAGTTTAAAGTTGCGCTTGTTAATGCAAATCAAGCATGTTCACTTCCTTATAAAGTTATTGCGAAGTCTGTCAAGAGCAGCATGACATTTTGTGTGAAAAATTAAATGATCCTCAGTTACAGCAGCACAGAGTTAATCTGTTTTAATGGTAATATGGCTTTTTTAAGTATGTCCAGGTAGATTCGTTTAAGGCGAACAGGCTTGGGTGGCACTTCTAATTCCCTTTTTCCATTCCTACTTTCTGTTCTCCAATATATGCCTGCTCGCAAGCTAGTGCTTCTCAATACAAATGCAGATTGTATTCTGCTTTCAGGAGTATTAGCTGTCACGATTGACTTTTGAAATTACTTTTCCTGTGAGTGGGGTGGGGGTGGATTAGCGCTACTTCTAAAATCTAATCATAACAGCAAAATTGAGCGTCATAAGTGACTGAAATGACTAAAACACAGAAACACAGGCTGTGCCGTTTTAGTTAGCAAAGGCTGGTGATATACGAGCAGCGAGAGCGAAGCTTATTTTTTTCGTGTGAGATTCGCATACTTGGCTCGTTCCTTAAGTGCCTCTAAATAATGCAGTTACTGCCAAGGGCATTATTTATCTCCACTTATTAGTCCGTGTAACTGACGATGTCTGGAGATCTGACCCAGATAGTTACTGGTTACTAGTTACTATCGACTGGAAAATTTTCGCGCGAACGGCCTTAAATACAGCGTTACTCGTGTAATGTGAAACCGGGGAAAAGTAGCATAATGATATATCAGGTGACCTCCTGACCTCAGAGGTCAGTCAAGTTGTTAGTTCAATGTACGGGGACTGATTTATTTACTCATGAGTCGACATGAGGCATATGGATCTGAGAAACTAATTTGCTACGGTTTCAAGCAAATATTCTATCATATTTTTAAAGGACTCTCGACTTAACAAGACGATGAAAACAGCCAGGACTGTGTGTGCCACTCAGTGTCTCATCTCAAATATAAACATTGTCGACCTTGTCAAATTTTATGGCCGTTTATGTCGGCTGTTTTACTGGAAATATTTTACAGAACAGCTCACAAGGACACTGGGAAGTTAAAATATTTTCTATAGCAGCAGAAGGAACATATAAGTAACAGTGAGTCGTTGTTTCCTGTTTTAAACTGTTGACTTCCAAAGAATAACCTTGTGATTTGCATAAAATTGAACTCACTTACATGCCGTAACATTTTATTTTTCTGATGGAGAACATTTTAATTCCCAGAGCTATAACTTTTCGCGTGAAAAAAACAAGAACCAAGGTTTCCTAAAATGTAGATATTTTGACCAAATGATATATACCAGGGGCCATTCATACTAGTCAAAGTTGGCCTTTATTTGTTCCTCGCCAAGAGACACAAATGGTGGCTGTACAAAATACCCTTCGTTACAAGGCTACAAACCAAACTTCAAGAAACTTATTACACGATTTAAAAGTATAAGAATGAAATAATATTTGTGCCGAGCTTTGTTGTCATAGGATTGTTTTTATGCCCACGCTGTTTTCGTAAAGAAGCGTGAAACTCTGAACATTTTAAGCCGTGAAAACCGCCATTATATGCAAATTTCGAACTTTCTTAAATTTTGGCCGTAAAATAAATCATTGCAACTTTAAACTATGTTTCCTTGAATAAGTTAACCCAAAGGTATGTTTTGGTGAAATAAAAGAAAATTCGATTTTTCGTGACTGTCTTCCAATTCTCAGCACTCTCAAAAATCACTCTTAAGTTGGTGACCTCAACTAGTGCTGTTTCTGCCGGGTTGCCAATGGTAACACTGCTTCTATTAAATGTACATTCATGTGCTGTATCTGTGTAAGTTACAAACTCCTCCATTGTTCCTAAAAAATGTGTAAGACTGAAATCTTACCTATTTGGAGGCTCAATTGGTTTTATGTATATTTTCTTGATTGGTCTTTCTGCATCAGTTACATTGCTGATCTCTCCATCCATCTCCTGTCTGTCTCTTTTCCTCTTTGATCTTTCATGGCTACTGATTGATGAAGGTGATGGACAGGCCTGCAAATAGAATAATAGCAAAACACACAAACTTAGTGAGCTGGCAGAATGCAAGTCAAAACTAGGGTTGTTATTATACCCTGCTATATATTAATCATAGGGCAAATGTATAAATGTACACCAAAATAGGTCGTGTAGGGCTCTCTGATCAGTACCTGTAGTTATAGATCTACATCCCAAGAAAGATTTGAATGTGTGTCATATTTTGGTTGTAACTTGAAACCTAGAAAGTCTGGTCACCATTCTTGTTGCGAGGATGGCAACATGCAGTTGTATCACCAGGACTTGACACAAAATGGTATTGTGTGGTCTATTAATTCTGCATGGTTTTGAATCTTCCTTTTATTTACTTTTGTCCATCTTTAGTGTGTTTAGTGAAATCCCTGAACTATAAGTAGTGATCATCACACGACTGTTACATGTAGAAATTGTAGATTGTGCATCGTACACTGTATTTAAATTGATTCCGTATGGAAAGCTGGAACACTAACATAAAAGAAACCCTTCTGAACAGATGGTAACAACTACTAGCACCTTAGAAGCTGATGGTTTACATCATCTCATTGATTTCAGCTCATTGCGCTTTTCTTGCTACTGAGAACATGTATATTAAATTTTCATCACAGTCACAGCTGTTAATTAACACATCAAAACAACACATATATTTTATGAATAAATATATGTGCATGAAAGTATTTTAAATACTCACACTTGGACCTGGATCGAACCTTGGTTTCTTCCTCTCTCTGGATGCTGATCTCTTTTTCTTTTTCTTTTTTGATGAATGGTCCTTAGACTTTGTTTTGTCTGGATTCAATGAAGGTCTACTGCTTGTCGATGAACTTTGAGGATCTGGCTTGGCAGTGACTTTCTCTTGGCTACCTCCTACTTTAAGAACTAGTTTGATAGGTTTTTCAGCTTTCCCAGCCTTCTCTGACCTTTCGGGTTTTTCTAATGGATAAGAGTATGAATTCTTATGTTTAACGCACCACTCCGCGGTGTTAACCGCGGTTAGCGTTTATAACTACAATACATGTCGTGACCGACAGCGTTAACACATTTACCTACCTTCAACGCCATCAGTGCCTTTCTTATGGTGTTTCTTGCTTTTGTGCTTCTTTCCCATGGTTTCCTAGTATTTAACAGACACCTTTTTTCTTTCTTAACAGTCAAAACTTGACTCCTATTTCGCTACGTCCCCAAGAGACAATGCTTCGTGGCCGCCATGTTGAAAACATCGTCCCATGATGCACAGTAATCACAGCGTAAATTCCTCACCAGTGCCCCCGCGTCCCCTGACAACTTGTTGGAACGAAAAGCAAAACATGGCGAGCGCGGACAGACAATTCTCCATCGTTGTGTTTGGAGCAAGTGGATTCACCGGCCAGTTTGTGGTGAGGGAGGTAGCAAGAAACTGCAGAGGAAAGTTCAAGTGGGCTGTAGCTGGTCGCAGTAAAGACAAACTGGAAAAGGTTTTGCAGGAAACTGCAGACGAGCTCGGTAGGTGACGACGTCATGGAAGATTATTTAATTTTTTTTTGGATGGTTCTTTGTGTGTTTCGGGGCGATAATCTCATTCATTTTGGACAGATGAGAAGAAGAATACGAGGGATACTTTCTTCTTTATTTGTCGCTTTGGGTTTTTTAGTACAGTTCATTAAAAAAAACTATGGTCATGGAAATATACTCAGAAGCTTACACGTACATTGTAAACTTCAGCTCATTAAATTTTTACTTGTATGTCATAAGCTTAACATGTGCACTGCAAACTTGTGACCTTCAGATCTTTGGACCCTTTATTCGTCACGCGACAATTTTAATTCCCAAGATTGTAGTTGTTAGATGCTTCTGCTGTAGGATCTTTGCAAGATCGATCTTCCACGTGCGCCACCACAGGCCAAAAATCAAGGGACTTTTTGTGTACCTCCAAAACTCTGGTTTTAACTTCACATGAAACAGTTGTATCAAAATTGGTCTCAATAACATCAGAGAGTTCTCTGCATACGTATATTAACACATCTGCAAAAAATAATAATTATCACGTGTTACCAGAGTGGTATCACTGAAACAAAATCTGGCAGGGGGCATTACAAAAATGAAGGTGGACTGCAAGATTTGCTGTCAGTAGAAGAGGTTGTTGGAGGTAATGCAGTTCAAGAAATTGCATTCCCACTTAAATCCAAGACCAGTGATAAATTACTGGGGTGGACACAGGATTTTAGAGAAGGGGGCTTGAGATACAGACCACTAACTAGGTGATCCCCTGTATGGGACATCCAGGGGCCCCCTCCCCTGGAACATTTTCAAAATTGAGGCCCTGGGAAATGGGATTTCTGGCATTCTGAGGCCAAGTCAGAGTGTTGTCTCATTTTTTTAATTTAGGGGGTTGAATTAACCTAATCCCCCGCACCGACTTACACGACCTACAGCTGAAGGTCTGCCCCAGAATTATTAATGCAATTTACCTCTATAAAATGAGCAAGGTTTCAAAATAAGTCGAAAGCTTGTGAAAATCTGTTAACAAGTTACCCCGAGTTCCCGAGTCTAGAGCTTTCTTTCTGGCTGTTGAGTCGTGCTTCAGGACCAGTTTGAACTATTTTTGTGTCTGTTTATGTCTAGGCTATGATGTTAAGGATGTGGGTATTATGGTTGCTGATGTCAGTGATGAATCCTCACTAAATGCAATGTGTTCAGCGGCCAAGATAGTCTTAAATTGCGTTGGTCCGGTATGTAGGCTTTTTTGTAATTGTTTTTTTCTTTTATTTTTAAATTTGACAGGCGAGAGGCAAATACTATAGTAGTTGTTGAGACTCAAATGAGCCAAGTAGATGACTGTATATTTCTTGGCTTACAAATCGAACATACTGTCTGATTGCTAGGTTTTATAAAATTCTTTTGATGAACACAAGCAAGCATAGCATGTCAATATTTTTGAAATTGAGATAATGCAAGATTGGCTCATCATTTCCAGAACATAATCCTGACTGAAATAAAACATCAGCTGAACTTCGCTAATCTTTCAAAACAGGTATTTCTGTGACCTTGATAGGTGTATACATGAACAAGATACATGTATATCATTGCAAAACGTGTAGTGCCTGATTAAACTACATTTTATCAGGGTACAGAAACGAGTAGTTAAGTGCACTACTTAGAACCTCTTTGTCTTGAACTTGGTTATTTCAAACTACCTGCTGTCTTAAATTCAAATCATTTTCCCTTGGATGTACTTTTTTAGTCACTTGCTCTTAGCTATCTTGAACTGTATATCATTTCGTGAGGTGGCGGGACTCAACTGTATGTACATGTAACAACCCAGGTATTAAGGTACCTGCCATATATATTTCCAGCTTTCTTCCAGTCCCCGTTTCACAGCAGACTTTGCAGTATGCATGCAATTTGATTATATAATGTTGCGATGACTGCATTGTGATTTGTTCTTTATTAAATTCCTTGTGGTTTATTACTTAATTTTCATTTCACAGTATCGATTTTATGGAGAACCTGTTGTTAAGGCAGCAGTGGAGAATGGCTGTCATCATTTGGATATTAGTGGAGAACCAGAGGTGGGATCAGCTTATTTTAATGTTTATTAGACTAGTATTATTGTACACTTAGAGTAATTTTTTAGGAATATTTAGTGTCCACCTTTCTGCAAACGTACATGTAGAACGATGTTTAATAACACTGTACACTGAGATACTCTTGGATCACTGTGGCTGTCCATGTTATTAAATGAGTGAGAGCTTGTTGCACGTATACCAACAGAAGGGTGGGGAGCAGGGATGGTCTTGTGGTGAGAGCAGTAGCGTCCCACCAGTGTTCCCTGGGTTTGATTCTGCCCCAGTGCCATGTGTGGGTTGAGTTTGTTGTTGGAGGTTTTTACTCCGGGTTATCTGGTTTTCCTCCCTTCACAAAAACCAACATTTTCAAATTCCAATTCAATCAGCCAGACAGAAGGCATGCATTAAAACCAGCTAAGGCTGATGTGGCTTGCTCTTGAAATATTGTAAAGGGGACTAATCTAGACTGTTGTAACCTTATCCCCCCTTCTTCCTGGATAAAATCATCATTCATCATTATTAACAGTTACCTTAATGCAGCATTTTTTTAGTGTCCTGTAACGGTGCTCCTGGGCAAGGAAAGGTACTGCGAGAGTAAACCTAATTCTGCGCATTGTGTATCTTGTTTCAGTTCTTGGAGAAAATGCAATTTCAGTTCCATGACCAGGCTGTAAGTGCTGGCATCTACATTGTCAGTACCTGTGGATTTGATAGCATTCCTGCAGACATGGGCGTGGTGTTTACACAAGAAAATTTCCCAGGTATGCTACATTTTGTAAGATTGAGTAATAAAATGTATTATTATATTGATTTCATATCATGACTGCTAAAAATTAAATTTATTTTTAGTACAAAGTTTCATTATGAGCCATGTAGGCATCTCCACATAGAAATGATCATTGTTTGATTTTAAGAAGTATACATTTGTTAAAGTTTTTCATGATGGATAAAGTCCTGTGATTTCTTTCAGGTGAATTGTGTCATTTGGAGAGCTTTTTAGCCTTGCATTCTGGCCCCAAGGTAGGTTGAACAGATTATCATGAAATCTTTGGAAATTATGATGTATACAGTTCACATAGTATGACTATACGTGTATATGGTGGACCCATTAGTCCAAAAAAGGATCAAAATCAAATTGCTCATTACACTGTAAATTTGACCAGAAATGACACTTGTCAGCCATGCTATGTTATTTTGAAGGTTGCTTAAAGAACTAATATTTAATTGCTGTCAATATTTAATAAACAGTCAAAGGTCTAAAGGAACTTTGGCCCAGCTGGGGGTTCCTTTTTTTGTGCAAATTTTTAAAGTTCACTTGTTCATTCTCTCTTAGCCCCTACCCTGCCCTAATGAACACATCCTTTTATTTTTTGCTTTTTGTTTTTTTGTTTGGTAGATTTTTTTTTACTATTGCATATAATACTAACATTACTTACACTACTAAGACTTCTTACAATACTAACATTACCTACAATACTTACATTACTTACAATACTAATATCACTTACGCCACTA